CCCAACACCTTCTCGTTGCATAAATCACTACTGGGACCTGATTCAATGGAGGTGAGGATAAAATACAGTAACAGACAGAAGGTATTGAATTTGACAGCCCCCAACAATGATAGAGTACTTACTACTGGTGAGGAATCCTTGATCGATATTTAACTGTAATATCAATATGTGGTCAAACTTGAAAATCAGTCACATCATTTCAGACTTCTTCTTCTCATTCTCTTAGGTTCAGAGTAGAATATAAGGCTTCATCTTGGGCATCTGAGCTGAAGACGTTGTCTTGAAGGACAACAAAAGCTTCTCAACATAACTAATTCAACATCTTCATCTTGTCAACTTTTGTTAATTTAACTTTCATACGTAAGCACGACTTGCATGAACTGGTTTATTCTAGTTAGTATACTATATTATGTGCCATAGAAATTGAAACCAAATCGAATGTCAGATAATTTGGACTGTGTATTTCCCTTGGAGGATCTGGACTTCGCCGATGATATATGTCTGATTTCCCACAAACTGGAAGATATGCAAGCGAAAAGCAACAAGTTGGCAGAAGAAGCATCCAGAGAAGATAGGACTTCAGGTGAACATAGAGAAAACAGAGGTGATGAAGATTCCTGGGCAACACCACCAACAGCAACAACAACAACAGACAACAATCAGCATAAATGGGAGGAACTTGAAAGAAACAACCTCTTTTACCTACCTACCTGGGAAGCATCGGTTCAACTACAGGCGGAACTGATGAGGATATCAAAGTGAGGATTGGGAAAGCAAGACAAGCTTTCACTACTCTCAAGTCTGTGTGGAGATCAACAGCACTCGGCGTGAAAAATAAGATCTGGATTTTCAACTCCAATGTGAATTCAGTGCTACTTAACGTACGGATCAGAGACTTGGTGCGTCATAAAGAGCATCTCAAACAAACTACAGACCTTTTTGATTGCACACTAGTCAGTAACTAGTGTAATGCGTCTAGTCCTATCTTCGGTGCAGACTGAATTCTATCAGTCATGTTTGCAATGTGGCCACCATGCTAGGTGGCTCGCCATCACGGTGCACTGTGAATTGTTGGCATTAGATGGTTGGAGGCAATCGGTAAGGCTTCCTGCCGATTGCCTCCAACTATCTAATGCAAACTACAGACCTTCATTACCAGTTGTCTTCGCTCAATACTCAAGATCAGATGGCCAGAAAAGATCAGCAACAGTGAGGGATCTCTGGAAGCGAACCAACCAGGAACCGATTGTGAAACCAATAGGCAGAAAGAAATGGAGATGGATTTGCCATACTCTGCGGGAACCATCAAGTGACATCACTAGAGAAGCCATTGCTCTAGTGGAACCCGAAAGGGAAGCGGTGAGTTGGTCGTCAGTGCAAGGGTGATTTGGAGGAGGTCATGTGAAGAGGAGATGAAAGTGTGTGGGCAGACTTAGAGCCAGGTGAAGACTCTAGCAGAGAACTGAACGCAATGGAGAAGTGTGGCTGAAGCCCTATGTTCCTCTAGAAATTAAAGGATATAATAATAATAAATTTCCCGTGATCATGTTTTTTGGTCTTCTCATATCAGGTTAGTTTCCAGAATGATGCTGCTTCGTTAAACGTTCCACGTAAGGAAGTTTATACAACCTAGGACCAACGAGTCATTCTCTACTTTTACACTTTGTTAGTTCTGGTATTCCGTCTATCCTTTTTCACTGCTCCTCACCAATTAATCATTTCAGAGCAACTTAAGAGGGACTGCTTGATTACACTGCAACAGGTACTGTAAGCCATCACTAGGGCGAGAGGATTGTTGTCGCTAAATCAACTTGTATCAACACTGTTGTAGATAGTGGACACATAGACTCGTGCAAAGAATTAGTAAATATTATTTTGTCAGATGGACTCTGAACATCCTCTCTTTATACGGCTCCCTCCACGCATGCAAGCATCTCATCAGGTAGGTGGCACTAGAGGCAACTACAGAAGACCATGCGCTCAGACAGCCAAATGCAGAAACTCAAAGATACCTTATTAGACAAGTGGGCATTCAATGTGTGATGAGAAAAGTGTGTAAGGCATAGTAATACTAATTATCAGAGAAACACTCTGTAAACGGCCCTTTTTGTTCACTTCATTATTATAATGCTAATGTTTTCCTTTAAATTTTAATTTTATGTTCATATTCGCATTTGACAAAATTAAGGAATGTAAATGGCCTGTTTAATTATTTTTTTTTATTCCTTTACGTTCCCAGTGGAACATGGGGCTTCAATCCAGAGGCTTGAAGTTTCCGTAGCACTGGTGATTATTTTCAAAGGATGGGGTTGCTAGCCTCATGCCCAACCTTCCCTCTTTACCAGTATAACTACTAGCTTAGCGAAGTAAAGGAGTGCGTATGTGGCCAGGGATCGAACCCCGGACCTCCTGTGTGGTCGGCGAGCACTCTACCACTGACGCAGTTGTTTAATTATTACCCATGTATTATGTAATCAGAAAGTTAGATGTGATACTGTACTACATACTGAAAATTCCATATTTATACCAAAAGCTCTATTATTATTTTCTTCAGCTCTCTTTGGCTGGCTGGCTCTACCACTGTCCATAGGCACCTATGTCCTTCTGTTCTCGGGATCTTCTCTATGACACACCCAACACGTCATCGTTTCTCATTCGACTTTTACATGATGACTTGCAGCGTGTCATTTCACTCGACAGCCTGGTTAGCCAATCGCTTATAAAAGTTTGAAATTGCTTGTTAGAAATGCTTTTTGTCATACATGCTAAGTTGACGAGTGAACTAATAAACTATTATCGCTGGTTATCGATAACTTCACATGAGCATGATTCACGTGTGACCTATATTGAATTGTAATTTTTCATTCTGTTACGTAATATAAGATAAAATGAGTGCGATTTGAAGAAGTCTAATATTCTTTATAGAAGGATGATAAAACCAAGATTTTTAGCATAAATTTTGTGTATAATTTTATTTCGCGGTTTAAAAAGTATGATTTTTCTTGATTTCATTGCCTTCAGATTACAGTAGATGGATTCGACCGCTGGACACCACTGCATTTCATCCTATCCTCTTCATCAGGCAGTAGATCTCTTTGGCTTAATTCACGGCTACCAATATGTTCTTGACTTCTTGCATCACCACATGTCATCATCAAACTCGGTCTCAAAACACCCAATTCGTCATTTCCTATCGTAGTTCCACACTCAAGTGATGACGTCGTTGGTGTGTGATGTTACTCATCGATCTCTCCAGCAGATGTCTGACTTATTGATTTTAAATGCAGTTAACAATGTGGAGAATGAAATTCAGTGAATTGATCCACTGTCACAGATTCCTGATACTTCTCTTCCAATATACCTTATCATTTATTTGTTTTCATTTGTGTCAAGTTTAACCTTTATCAATCTTAAATGAGTACGGAAGTCGACTGTGCTCGAGTAACGGAGCAAGATTTGAATTTGCAACATCAATGTCAAGCCGGTCACTACTTCTAGACGATTCAGAGATTTGTAGCACATATCGTCGAAAGTATTTCCAGCCAACGCCATTCGCTGAAGTACTGAAGAGGAGAAAGAATTAACAGCAAGCAAATCTGGCAACGGTGCGTCGGTGGCATAGTGGTTAGGACGCCCGCCGACCATGCACATGGTCTGGGGTCCGATCCCCGGCCGATGCACTCCTTTACCTCGCTAAGCCAGAAATAATGCTGGTGAAGAGGAAAGGTTGGGCGTGAGGCTAGCAACTCCATCCTGTAAAATAAACACTGCTACAGAAACTTCAAGCCACTAGGTTGAAGCCCTATGTTCCACTGGGGAACGTGAAGGAATAAAAAAATCTGGAAACGAAGATTCAGAAGAAAGATGGGATAGGACACGCACTCAAGAGACAAATGATAATCAATGCATATCATATGAGCCCATGAGTGGGAACCGACTGGTTGGAGATGACTCCAAAAGACGATATGGAAGAAATTGGGCAGATCGCCAGCTTAAGAGAATTGATGAAAAGAGCAGGATGGTGATTTACCCTGTCTGATCTCCTCTTTTCCAGGAGGAACCTTAGGGAATTTATTTATTTACTTATTTAAGTTTCTGATAGCTATCTGTCACCTGATTCTAGCACTTTTATTCATTACTAATCCCCACTCACGGCGAATTCATTTTCCTCTTTCCGTGAGGAGGGGGAGATAACAGACTATGACCAATCTTTGAACCAGCCGCCTAAGAAAGACAGAAGAAAATAGGACAGAACGGAGATCTACCCCGGTTGGACCCTTGTGTTCTACTGGGAAACCAAGGGAACAATAATAATATCCAATTATGCAGCCTGATAGTGGATTCCCTAAAAAATCACTCTCTTCGCTGAATATCGATTTTCACAGTTAACTTTATTGATCGACAACTTATCAGCCTACTCATTTCGACAGGAAGTTTCAAATAAAAAAACAAACACGACAATTTATTGAGTTGACATTAATCAATTTGTCACATTCATGTATCCAAAATTCACATGATAAAAATATTTGTGACTGATAATATGTGAAACCGACAAAAAATTTAAAAAATGTCTTTTTTTCAATTCTTATCAACTGTTTGGACGTGATGTTTTGCATATGTTTGTGTATGTGTGTGTGTGCGTGCAGCTGTCGTTTATCTTTGCGTGCGTGATATCTCTTGATTTACTGATTATCTAATCAACGAGGATGAACGCAGCAATCATTGGTTAATAGACAGATGGAGAAATAGACATGGACAGAGATAGGTGAGTAGACAGATAGATAGATAGATAGATAGACAGACAGACAAACAAACAAGCATGTAAACAGACGGAATCAGATATCAACACCATTTTGAGAAATATTTCACTGATTGATTGATTGACTGATTGCCTGTCAAAAAGTCGGCTTTCGAGAGAGAGAGAGACAATTTTTCGCCATTTTACTCTGCTGTAGAAAGTCATTCATTCATTATCTTCTCCCTTGAAGTCATTACAACACGGTGTAAGAAGATCTGCGGATCAGCGCATATATACATTCAAGTACTTACTCACCGACCCATACACAAATACCATCCGTTTCCACTCTTGCACACACACACACGCACACCCACTTTCTCGCTGTCCGTCTTTGAGAAAATCAGAATGTCTTCAGAGAAATATCTTTCGATCAACAATCATCATCATGATCAGCATCCTCATCATTCTTGTGATCATTATGCATATTCGAATAAAGAGATCGCCGACAAGGAGTCATCATCAGCAGATCAAAATGATAAAAAGCAGAAAATGTTGAAAAGGGATCAGTGGAAGGGGAGAATTGATTTTCTGATCGCCTGTATGGGATTCTCTATTGGGCTAGGGAATGTTTGGAGATTTCCATATTTATGTTATAAAAATGGAGGAGGTGAGTTTGACGTACCTCATGTCTTCTTTTTTTGACAATTTGTTTTCATTTTCGGCGATTTCTTTTTTTCAAAATGGAACTGTATAAATATATGTGTAAAACTTGGGCACTGTGGTAATAAGTAATTCCATATTAGTTTGTTTAATAGATGTATCACACAGTGAAACAGTATTATTTACTGGATGACAAGGTTTCGAAAAAAATTTATTGTTCATAATCATATCAGTTATAATCGGAAACGTTACGCAGAATTCTTAACAAGGTAGGAATAAAAGTGGCATTCAAACCCACAAACTGAATTAGAAACAAGCTTTGTTGGTTAAGGCACCCTGTGGAGCCAATTAAATAAAACAATTTAGTTTATCTAATACCCTGTTGGAATGGTTGTCAGGTCAAAATGGTAGAACGGGGTTAGTCAGCCAGACTAGCGGAGCAGCCCAAAAACCTAGCAAAATCTACATTAGTTGACCCTAATAAGATAAGAAATCTGGAGAATACTTCAGCTATAGTACTTAATACATGTAATAACACACAGCCATACAATATAGGATGATGGGATAAGATGACAGTTTTAAAATCTAATGTCACAGAGTGGAGAGAGAGATTGATAATAGAAGCTTTGTTTATCGAATCAACTGCAGAGAGTACTTGTAACAGGAATGATTCATCACCTGTACCCCAACGACGACAAATAGGAGAGAACAAAGGAAACTACAAAACTCAAATTTCGTGTGATCACAATTGATATGATTATGAACAATAATAAATTATGTTCGAAATGTCATCCAGTAAATAAAACTGTTTCAATACTGTGTGATACATCTAATAAACAAAATAATATGGAATTACGGAACCGTACATATACATAAGTTATTATTATTTGTTATTATTATTAGTCCCTTGGGTTCCAAGTGGAAAACAGGGCTTCAGCCAGAGCATCTCTCCACTTTGTTCTACTTTCTGCTGCCTTCCTTAGCTGACTAGCCACACGATTGCTCATTGCCTTTTATCTCCTCCTCCTCACGACACGATCTCCACTCGTGTGCAAAAAATCAACTAGTCGCCTCTCATTCGGATTCTACTCGAGCAATGGACTGGTTGACATGTGATGTCATTCGACGGTCTCTTCAGTGTGTGCCTAATCCATCTCCATTTTATCCTGCAAATTCGTTGACTGATAGGTTGTTGATTACTTTTTTCCTATACTTTCTTGTTGCTAATTCTTTCTGGCCATCTTATCTTTAATATGAAACCAGTGAAGGCAGCTTTTGATCAAAGTCCGCATCTGGCTGCTAGCAATGTGTTTCATTACAAGATAGCCAAGTTTTTGACCTATATAGAAGAACTCACTAAATTAACGTTGGTGTTGAAAATCAGAATATTGTCCTTTACAGTGAGTGGAGAAGATTTCAGAACTGATTTTAGAGTGATAAGGGTGTTTGTCTTGTCTTTTTAATTCTGGCTTTGGCATCTTCATCCGTTCCATCTGCTATTAAAACGATACTTCCTAGATAAGTGAAAGAAGTGACATCTTTGAAATTTATCCCAATGATGGTGATTCGTGCTGGGTGTTACTCTTCGTTGATGGGTTATTTTCATCACCTTAGCCTTCTGTCTGTTCACCTGAAGTCCTGTGTTCTCTGCTTCTTCAGCCGGTTTATTGGTTTTCGCCTGTAGATCTTCGGGTTTGTATGTTATTAGACATAAATCATCTGTGCGAAAACCAGATCTCCTGGGTTCTTCCTATCTGGCTAACGTTTCCTGTCTTCTTGCTCCCCACACATGATCCTCCTTCAAATTGCCTAAAGGCGGTGGGCGGCTAGAGTATACCACTCTTAGTGTTGCTGCAGGGAAGCTCTTCTTTTTGAGGCACTAGAGGGGTTCCCCTCTCTTCTGTATGTAGGCCACTAGCTAAGTATCCCCTGAAGTCAAGTTCTATATATCACCTTTCGTCTCTCCTTCGTTATTATGTGCACTCCTTTTGTGCGTCGGTGGCATAGTGGTTAGGACGCTCGCCGACCATGCACATGGTCCGGGGTTCGATCCCCGGCCGACGCACTCCTTTACCTCGCTAACCCAGAAATAACGCTGGTGAAGAGGAAAGGTTGGGCATGAGGCTAGCAACCACATCCTGTAAAAAAGGAATGCTACAGAAACTTCAAGCCTTATGTTCCACTGGGGAACGTGAAGGAAATAAAAAAAAATGCGCTGTTATAATTATTGCCCCATGTGATGAGAAAGTTACATGCAACACTGTACTACTACATGCTAAAAATTACGTATTTGTTCCAAAAATACTGTTTGTAACAAAACTGTTATTACTGGCAGTCACTTTCAGTACACTTTTCATTTCATTCCGATTTCCGTCCCTTTCTCTTAGCTACAATTAGTCATCCCATTCTAGACTACACTTCATACCTTAAGTAATACATTTTTGAGGACACAGTTGGCATTAAATCTGATTGATTCTCTAACCGACATCGATCTGTGATCGTACTTGAAATAAATCATAAGCCTACAAATTATTCTAACCACTACCCCCTTGGGTTTCAAATATTGACAATTTCACATGAAATTTCATGTTATGCCTGGACGCTTATGCATGCTTCCCTACTCATAGCTGATGATACAATTCAATTTGACAACTAAGGATCCCAAGATAGTTTTCTTATTTCGAGGGCGAAAATGCTACCCATCCAAATATGGGAGCGGTAGGGCAAACAGTTCAGCCAAGAGAATCTGTTTTGTCGGCGATAACGAATTCATTCACTTAGCTGCACAAGTATTTGTATGCGTGTATATATACCGCAAGAATAAAAATAATCTGTTCGGAGTATTGTTTATATAATTAAAATATTTCAAAAATATTTCAGTTGGGCATAGTCAAATTGGACACTAGTTAATAATTAGTTTAATGTGTGTAGTTCTATGTTTGGTGCAGACTGACGAGTTCCACCTAACACGAAACCTAAGTTCAGGGCTTCGTGCCGATTTCTTCCAACCATCCAGAATCAGCGATTCAAAGTGTATCGTGATGGTGAGCTACTTTGTATGGTGGCCACAGTACAAACTCGACTGATAGAACTCAGCCTACACTGAAGAAATAACTCGGCACATTACATTTGCTGCTAACTAGTGTCTAATCAAAGTAACCAATAAAGTCCTACAGGAGTTCTGTCACGCTAGCCCAAATAGATCAATGGTAACGTCTATAACTGCAGCACTGGGTGACGTGCGTTCGGATCTCAGGAGGTACATGAGCTCCTTCGAGTTAGTTGCAGACACCCCTTGTTGGCTGGTGAGTGTCAACTAACAAGAAACCTAGGTCTATCGCTTCCTGTGTCTGATTGCCCCCAGCCATCTGATATGATCAAATTATAACTTAGGGCGACGAATGTGAGGTGAAGATTAATAGGTTAAGATTAAGTTTACGTAATATAAAGACGATCACTGAGAAAATCCCGGTGTTCATATGAAAGGGAGGTTGAAAAATGGAAGGTTAATTAAGAAATTGATAATACTAAATGTGATACGAATTATGCTTATAAAATACAATTGATAACAGTTGAATTTTGAATTATACCTAAGGTAGAAAAAAGGAGTGGATTGAGAAGTTTCTTCCTTGTACACATGAATTATGGTTTTCTATATCCAAATCTCTAAGGCCTCATAGCTGTAAAGTACAATATGGAAACATTCCCGGAAGCTTCGGGAGGCTTCTTTGTTCTTTATAGATAACTGACTGAACTGACTTTGCATAATGAGTGACCAGCGTTGAATATATATATTTTTTCAGTTAGAGCCCTCCCTATTGATTCACTATTACTTTTTTGTAGCAAAAGAGGATAACTTTCTTTGAATTCTCTGTAGATAAAATACTCATCGGAAAATTTATTCATATGCACATGTTTATCGCTCCAAAGAAGAAAGTGAATTGGTGGATACACATAGAACAACGGTATAATGCGATACTTTATCTTTAGAGTTATTTGAAAACATGGGAGATGGTAGAAGCAAAGAATTTTGTTTTTAGGGGGTCTGATATTTCCTTTCTTTAGAGTATCGGCTGGAAGTTGTCGCCTTTGTTGCACTTCACATTCATATAGCAAGTAGCTCCTTTGGCACACATTATGCGGTCTCTTGTTTTGGTTTTGGTTTCTGTGTTTATCTATGAAGCGTGCGTACTACGGGTAGCTATTTTCAGCTAAATTGTCTTCCTAAAAAAAGAAATTTCTTCAGAGCTACAGATTCTCCGGATGCTTTTGGCAAGAGATATTAAGTTTCGATTGTGATTTACAGTATCAAACTGTAAACGTTTGTTAGCTGACTGTTCTACGTAGGCCTTCTGGTGTACTAATCCGCTCAGGGTTCCATCAGGCTTCTTTGCCAGTCAAGCGGTTTTCATATTACGTAACATCTTGTCTAAAATTACCAACATGTAACCCACTAGTTACAATCTTTGATCACTTATCACTGTTCCAAAGCATTTCGGTGATGTAAACGATACTCCAAACTAAGCTTTTGTCCCTGTGCTATGTACAAACATGGACATAACTATTTTATCACACCATTATTATTCCCCTGGATTCCTCGTGAAGCCTTGTGTTTCAACGGCACATCTGCATTTCGTCCCGTTCTCTGAAGTCCTTCTCATCTGGCTAGCCCAATGATTTCCCATAAGCATTTATTTCCTCCTCACACGATCACCTGCAGCGGCGCTGCAGTCGTCATTTTCCACTCGGATTCCACTCAAGCGATGGCCTAGTGATGTCACTTGATGGCTATCTCAGTGTGTATCCAATCCATTAATATTTCCTTTGATATATTTCTTGAGGAACAGGTTTTTGACTGTTTTGTCTGTTCCGAGAGTTTCTTCTCGCTAATTCTTTCTGGCCAGTCGGCTATCTGATCTCCTGTATCTACAATGAGAAGGCGGCTGTTGGTAAAAGTCTGCTGCAGAAGCCTGTTGGAAATGCTCACGGCAACTTTCTGAAACAACA